TCGAAAGGGACTTGGTCGCCCCGCTCAGCCCCGATGATAGCGTGGCCGTCTCCGGCGTCGCTGCGCCTGGCTCTGGAGCCGGCGTCTTATCTTCGTAATCTTCATAATCGTGGGCGTCAGGACCGATGTCCGCTTCGTCGTCGAAGCTCACTGAAAGCTCGGTGGCGGCTGCAAAGCGCGCAGCCGGGCTTGAACTCTCGTTGCGAGCCCCGCCCGACTTGGCAGGCGTAACTGGTACCGTCGGTTGTCCTTTCGCCATGTTTCTTGTCTTTTCCTTGTTCTTCTTCTCTTGGTAGCTCGTAAACTGGAAGGCCATACAAACAGTTCACAATGGTCACAATCTGTTCCCGGGTCGCGGCACCAGTTGTGGTGTTGGAAATCCCACGTGAACTCTAGCTACAGATGTAGTTAGGATGTTCCCACAACAATACGTCTACTAGGATAGTAAGCGATCGTTCGGGCGGACCTGAAAAACCCAGTTCTGCCCTTGCACCGGGACAAACTGGACCTTGTAAACTACTTATATAGGCCAACCAGTAAAATAAGAACGCGCTACTAGCACGAGCAAAGCTAGCAGATGTTTTGAATCCTCGTGGTCCCAACAGCGGAAGGGTACCAGGCACGGGTAAGCCTTTTACGAGATCACCGAGTGTTCAACACTCGGCTGGAAGAAATAAAAGGGAGGCAATTCAAGCACTCCCAGTCGTGCAAATAGGCAACAATAAGCCGTCACGTAAAACCTCGCGATAATAATCGGCCAATACACAAAGTCTCTTGGCCTTGCCGGATGAACCCTCGCTACAGAGCTTCGAGTTCACCGACAGGCATAACACACTCAAACAAGCTTGACCTGACGCTTACCTTGAAGCCGGACGTCGCTCTGTGTGCTTGAGTGGAAATTCTGTTCTGTATTTAAGCTTACCCTTTCGGGTCTATTCCTAATAAGAAGTCCTAATCAAGTATACAAATATCAAGTGAACAATGATCCGTTATGGATCTTCTTGCATGCCAAGCGTCGTCTGCACTGTCGCATGAGCATCTTTAACGGTCCGCGCCCTGTCCCAGACGGTTAACGTGTCTTCCAAAGGTCGCTGAGTATTCCGCGAACTCATCCCAACCGCCACTGAGGGTTCGTACCGTAGATGGTCCGCTGAATGCGAATCCGGCCAGTCCATTATTAATAATAAGGACAGCCTGGATTCAGTGACATAGGGCCGTATCCGATATTTGTTGAAAACTCGGAGGTGACGCCGTCGAGTCCCTTGCACCTTGGCGTCTCCGTACATCACCCGACCAAGGGTTCGTCGCTTGAACAACTTGGGCGGTGTCACGTCTTTGTCGACGGGTGATAATCCGCAACCACGGAGAAATCACTACACCACACTATCTTCGGGTACATACGCTATGTTCGAATAATTCGAGTGACCACATAGCTCGGGAATAAACAGGAATCTTGGCACCGTAATGTGCCTTACGTCTTCTTCATTGACCTTTTTGCATTTGCACTTACAGTAAGCTTTGGATCACGTTTGTGCCCTCTTATGATCGTAGTTGGCTACCCTCAATGAGAACGAATATATTTCACAGCCGTTCGTCTTTAGAAGCCACAAAAATTTTAAAAGTTAAAAGTTACGGCTACACTTTAATTTATTTTTTAATATATTAAACAATATAATAAATAAATAATCATTTATTTAGACCATGCTCGACTAAATGACCTTTTAACACCATTTTCGTGCAACAAGGTCCTCACTCACTCTTGTTCTACAAAATGTAGGCATAATTGTAGACATCTGACATCGTTTGACCGCCAAATTAGCCCGGATTTATCTTGCCTGTCCAAATGAAATTAAATTTCGTTGTAAAATTCGGAGGTAGGCATATAAATTGTTTTGGGGGCTCAAAATACGACTGACGATTCAATTAGATAAGTGAGGGTGAATATATTAGCCTTCAAAATTTGGTCGGTCGTCTGGACTGCACGCTCTTAAAAAATGGGACAACAAGAGGTTTTAATAACTGAACTAAGCTAAAAAAAGTAATTCTTTTCAAAATATATACTTTTTAACTTAGGCTAATATTAAAACCTATCCCACCATCCTTGTTTTGACATAGGTAACGAACAATTCTCAGCTGTATCTGAATAATTTTCCGCGATTCGTGATTGGCGGAAAACCCCAGCTTCTTATGGTCGACCGAGGAGGCAGTTTCAAAAAGATACAAAAGTTCCCGACCGACCAGCCGAAGAGCACCTTCTTGCACGGAATTCACCACGCACAATTTACCCGGAAATAGCTAGCGTACGCCCAAATAGCCTACACATTATATGTGTACTATATATATATCACTGAGCCATACCTTCCGTCGATATTATCGACGGAAGATGCACTAACACTACCAAAGACAAGTGTAAGCGCGGACAATTGGGATCGAAATAGATTACGGCCTTTACAATTTTCAATATAGAACTGTAAAGATGATTTGCTGAAGATTGGAATAGGCTTTTAGTTTCGTTACAGCCTGTAGCCGTCGAAATGGATAATTTTTGGATGTATATTAGCATGCAAAATATTTGAAAGAATTTACATGTACTAATTTATGAAAATATCTCGATCAAAATCATGCGTCGTAGCCCTATCCCTAAATTTGATACTACCGGTACATGTACAGTACATTGTACCGACTGCGAAGTATAACTTCAACATGTCCGCATTATGATAGCACTGTATCTTAGAGAAAAAAGGAGAAACACGTCCATCGCTGGGATAACACACACGGGGCTGGGCGACGTGGGTGCCATAGCCGCGGCGCCAACTAAGGTGAGCGGGTGCGAGGCGCGTAGCCGCAGCAAACCCGCGCGGAGAGCCCGCGAAGCAGGGCCGCGCGGTATTTGCGGAGGCGGGCCCAGCGCTGAGCTCACCAGCGAGCCGAGCACTACACTTTCCAGAACATTCTATCTCCATATTGCGAGCGCAGCGAACCGCGGGGGCGCCGAAGGGGCAGCCAAGCGAAGCGCGGCTGGTCTCTTTTCTGCTGTGACCTCTAATCGTCGATTATGTCTTATTGCGACACTCAGAAGTTCAAAAGTATACATAAGTCAAATCAAGTGTGCTGAAGCAGTAAATACATGTGTTTGTTTGGCATGTTCTGTCTGTATCTTACTTAATAGTACCGTACAGTACTGAACACCGCACATCATAAACAAGACCCAGCGGTGAACAGTGTTCCTTATGTGATTGGCGACAGTCAAATTCTTGAGCTTTCTGCCAGCATAAAAGATACCTGCATAGAAAAACTATATTACATGTTTCAAAATTACATGTATATTGGTCGCCAAGCACATAAAGCGCGACGACACGAAATTTAAATCAATTTGATAGGCTGCTGGATTAATGGCCGAGCGTCGCCAATCACATAAGTAGTGAACTGCTCTTACTTTGATTCATAAAGCGCAGAAGCCACGGATAATGATCACGTTCAAGCGTTTAAGTAGTGCTCGCTGGGGCGCCCTCTTGACTTCGATTGCTGTATTGTTCTTCCTTGCAATCACTAAGGGAGCTGATGCCAAGGCTGGAGCTGATTTGGCTGACATCCAAGCCTATCGACGTTTGAGGACGACGACAGCTGATGCCTACTACGCCTCGGAAGACAGAGTATTCTCTGTTGTGAAGGCGTTGAAAGATCTAGCTCACAACGCTAAACTGACATTTAGTCTAGACAAGCAGCTCAAGGTCAATAACCGCTTTGAAGTGCTTCGGGTCAAACAAGTAAAAACCGACGTATTCTCGAGTAGCGAATTTACTGACTGGGCGCACTATGTGGCCAAAATCTGCAAGAGAGGACGCTTGCCAGCAGATCGAGCAATTTTTAAGACGATGGCGGCTCACTATGGCGATGACGAACTGGCGCGCATGCTGGCTACTGCGAAGCGAACAAGCAGAGACACGGTGGTATATCAGCTAAAAGAAATTCAGCAGAAAAGTTGGAAGGAAAGTGGAAAAAGTGCGGATGATGTTTACGCTATTCTCCAGCTTGACGCAGGAGGCCAAAACGTCTTGAATAATCCGGGGTTACCGGCATGGCTGAGTTATGTAAAGAGTCCAAGTACCGATTACATCGAGGCATTGCTTTTAAAGCTACGCGAGCAATACGACGACGTAACCGTGGCGAAAATGATTGTTTCATCACAGAGCGGTGTCAACAAACGCATTAGCGGGCAGCTCGAGAAGGAACTGAGCACTGCTTGGCGAAAGAATCACATTACTGAGATGGAGGTGTTCCAGCTGCTGAAATTGAATGACGCAGGCACTACTCTTTTAAAAAATCCGATTTTGGAGATTTGGTTTCATTATGTGTGGAAGATGAAAAGAAACGACCCTTATGAGCTGCTGGTCTCGTGGTTCAAAAAGGCTGGTATTGATGATGCGGGGCTCGGGAAGATGATCGCAACAGCGAAACAAGACGACAGAAACTATTGGATTGCTCAGACATTGGAGCAGCGTTTGTCTGGCAAATGAAAGGAGAGAAGATAATGGTAGCGGAATCTTCAGCATGAGTAAAAAGAAAATTTGCTTTTTGACGGCTACACTTGGACTTAGATAGTTTAGATACCCTACAATCATTTTTCCTACATGTAGCAATTATTTTTTAACGAGGGCTGAAGCGGGGGATCGGGATTTGGAAAGCGTCACCGAATATGCCATGTCGATATGCTCAGCTCCAGTCATTCTAAAGTTCCTGTTTGAGACCGGTGCATATTAGACGAGCTTTTCGCCTAACGCGATGAGAGGTGGAGAGGGACGCATCGACCATGAAGAACCGATAACAATGTGATCATTTTCATTGCAAAATTCCGAAATACGGTCATGTAAGCTTGACGTTCATGTACGTGAAGTAAAAGCTAACTAACTAAACTGAGATCCTGTATTGCTTCTTGTCCGCGAACGCCAGGAAATATCGCTGGGGGCGAACAGTAACTAAAAACTGTAATACGTTCTATCGATACGAACCTAATACTGGTAACTGTATTAATTTCGTATAGCTACACCTCGTGCTTCTGTAGCATCTTACTGAACTCTTCGAGGTCGATCTTGCCGTCGCCATTGCGGTCCATCTGGTAAACCAGTTCGCGCACGTCGTCATGGTCTAGCGCTTGGCCCAACGTCTTAAAAATGGACACGAACTCGTCCACTGAGATAGTTCCGCTGCCATCGGCGTCCACCATCCGGAAAATCTCTTCCACGAGTTCTTCTTTCGAGTGGCGACTCTCTTGGATCCTCGCGCTGCACCACTTGTAGAAGGCCTCGAACGTGATTTCCTGAGGCCCTTCAACCATTACCTCTTCTTTAACTGCATCACTGTCGCCCTCCAGTTCCTCCGCTACCAGATCCGTCATTAACCGGTTAAGCTGCATATCGTCCAGATCGTGGGTAATAGCTAGTAAGAGACTGGCCATCTCGTCTCTCGATACCGACCCGGAGCCGTCCACGTCAAAGAGACAGAAAATCGTGTGAATTTCCCGTCTCTCCATCTCTCGACGGTACGCGTCTCCTCGTTTCTCTCTCGGTGTAAGGTATGCTGCCAACGGAGACAACGGCGGCTCGATTGTCGCCTTTGGAGACACTTGGAGCGGGACAGGGACTTGCTGGATAGAGCGCAGCACTCCGGCAGTGACGGTCGGGTCGAGATGCGTCGAGGAGCGACGACGAGCAGCTTTGAATGTTGCGCTAGCGTCGATAGGCATGATACTGGAACGTCGACGACTGACGGGCATGGGAACCTCCGGCATCAAGGTGATATTTTCCCTCAATTGTTCGTGATTGCGCCGGACATTTTCTCGAAGATGAATCTTCATTTCAGCTACAAAGCGGAGCGTTCTCAACGTCTGTCGAGCACGCAGTAGCCGCGTCACTTGGACGATGACTTGGGACACTTTCATGTGCTCCACGTTGAATGCTAAGAGGCCGTCGCGTGCGATGCGTGCGGACATGAAGGGCACTGCGATACTAGGAACTAAGAAGAGGAAACAGAGTAGAGCTACGAAGATGGGGTGGTCACCGAAAAGCTCCGAGATCTGGTACGTCTCACGCAGTAAGAACGTTGAGAGATGCAGCGCTGTGAGCAGGAACACCATCCTGGTAGAGAAGAGTGCCAGGACGACTCCATTGCCCCATCCAGCACCGATGAGGCTTCGTTGACGTCGTTTAAGTTCCTTCTCGGGGAGATCCCGTCCGCCGTTGGGGAGCAGATCCACGTAGGGAGGGACCCATCCGTCCGGGTCGCCATAGTCGCGTCCGGCTTCCTCTGCATCGACTAGTAGCCATGTTTTCTCATTGGGATGAGGACAGGTTCCTGGCTCTGCGAGCGGCGATAACCCGTGCTGGCAACGCCACGCAGCCTTACGACGCAGTCTCTCTGCGTCGTGCTGTAGTCGCGTTGGTGTCAGTAAACACCGCATCGCATTCACTCGTCGGTACACGAAATCGTTCAGGGCAATGAGGGAAAAGCCAGCGATCAGGAGGATCGCGACTTCTCCGCGAGGTCCTGCGTGCCAGCAGAGACCAAGAAGAACCACCAAGACGACGTCGAGGGCGAGCCATGTAGCCATGTCGATCTGAATCAGTCGGCCCATGACTTCGCCAGAGATGATAGAGAGATATTCATTGAATGGGAACCGAGAATCGTCTCCTTGAAGCTGGAATTCCTTTGCTAAGAGTCGTGCTGTTTCTTCATCCGGATGATTGGAGCGGTAGTCCATGAATCGTCGTCGTAGAGCAAGGTAGACCACTTCTCGCTGGGCTTTCCTTGCTGTGGTCGCTCGACGCCACGACAAACGATGGATCCACGTCTTAGGAGGCTCCGTAGCGAGAGCGTACTCTGAGAGGACAGAGGGAATGTCAGCGCAACTGCGCTCAAACTCGCGCCACTCGTGCTGCACGTGCATCCCGAGACGTAGCAATCCGAGACAGAGCACCAAGAAGATGACGATAAAGAGAAACAACGCCATGTGCAGCTTCTCGATGATCTCCTGCAGCTCCGCACTGCCTCCTAGTATAGCCCTGGAGAGCCACGGTAGCACCTCGATCTTGGTGACAACAAAGAGCAGTAAACCGATAAAACCTAGCGTCGTGAGCTCTCCGAAGACCGTGTTGACGAACGGCATGTTGAGCTCGTCTGTGTGTTCCCGCAGCTCCTCTGTACAGACTTCGAACAAGATAGAGATGGCTACAAGCGTCGAGATGGTCACTGCCGCCACGACGCCCACTCGACCACTGTCCGGCTCCCCCTCGCCTTCTCCTTCTTTAGCTTCGTGCTCTGGGGCTCCCTTATGCTCTGAAGGCGGGTTTTCAGTCACCTGGGCGACCACCAGAGCCACTAGCAGCACTAGTAAACTCACTAGTCGCAGCGATGCCCAGCGCCATGCGGGGCGTGAGTTAGTCGCCATCCTAAGCGACGAATGGCAAATGTGTATACATGGTAAGAGACCGTTTGGCAAAGATCGCGTCTCTTCAAGATCGCTCTTACAAAAGTCAGGATAAAAAATCCAAAACAAGAATGATGGTTTTAGCGGTTAAAAACGTGTGGTCAGGAACGCATACGTTGAAGTTGGCTACATTCCATTCGTCTACAGTTGAGGGTAGACGGACTTGGGGCCGATGATGCCGCACGTGCCGGCGCTGCTAGTGCCGGCACCACGCTTGAGTCGCATGTAGCCTTCCTCGCCCCACTGCGTGCTCCACGAGTTCTTGATCTTGAAGTAGGACGGTGAGTAGCCCACTGCCAGCACAGCGTGGTCGAGCTCTGACGTCGTGCAGGACGACACAATTCCGCTTTTGTACTGCTTCCACGTGGGGTTTCCTGCTGCGACACCCACAGCAACTGGTTGAGTGTTGATTGCTTGGACCAACCCAGCGTCACTCTCAGGAACGCCCACCACCTTGCGGATAGTCACAGCTTCACGAGTGCAAGATGACTTGCAAGTATCGCGGTCGCCCGAGTCACCGGATACATACGGGTAAGCCTCTTCAGTACAGACACCGCCTGACTGTTGAATGAAAGTCAACGCATCGCCAGGGAAGCCTCCCTGACAAGCGTACGAAGCCTCGTCGCAATCCACCACTTGTTGCTCCGACAGGGGCGTCAGAGGCTGTCCAGACAGACAAATGGCGCTCTCGAGAGCTGCCACAGCTGCGAAGGCCCAGCAGGAACCACACTGGCCTTGGTTCTTGACCGGAACTACACATTCAGACGTGGTCCAGTCCTTATCTGTGCTGGAAGCATCACTCGAGTTGGACGGGACTTCATCAACGAACGAAGTGGCTTTGAGGACCCCAGAGCCGCGTTGATAGGAGTTGCCGATGAACTTGACAAACTCTTGGTCCGTCATCAGCGTAAACGGCGTGTCAGTGGAGAAAATAGCCTCCGGGTTGGTCACTTGAGCCTCTTGAATCATCAACTTGGTCAGGAAGAACCGACGCAATTCCTCGTCTGCTTGACCACCGACATCTCTCGACGTCGGAATAGGAAGGAAGCCATGGTCCTTGGCATACTGTCCAGCATCGCTCTGCTTCCACGTGTTCAGCTCCGACTCAAGACCGCTCTTCTCCTGGAGAAACTGAGCCATCCGATCCGTCGGGACAAGAGGAACAGCGGCATCGGTAGCAGCCACAGAGGCGAGAAGGAGCAGAAGAGCAGTGTTCATCTTGACGTGTTGAAAGGATGTTGCTAGAAGGAAGCAAATTTGCAAATGAACTGCAGTCCCCACCCTCAGCCTTGAACACAACCAGTAGGGGATCGTAGTGCATCCATGTAAGACAAGAAATGCCAAAATGTCAACCACATCGATGGATATCTACTGTTTTGTCACGCTGGTTATCAGATCATGACACTTCAACTTCAAAACGTAACTTGCTTACTCCTCTTGAGTCAATTGTGACGAATAACTAGGTCGACAAAACAGATTCCGCGGAAACGTGTTGCCTCTTTTGCTTGACGTCGTGCAAGTTATCGCTTCACTTTCCTCATCCTTTGCGTGGTGTTTCCGATAGAAAACGGTCTTGGAGCAATAATGAATCGACGCAGAGCCCACGACTTGACTTGCTAGTGCAAACACTAACCCTCGATCTTTGTCTGGCACAACTTCATACTCGTCACCTTCCTCACGCCTCGATCCCGAGTGCTTACGGTGCGCTAGTACATGGCCAAAGATCCAGGCTTCACCCTGAGCATCACGACAAATAGTCGTGACCTGGAGGTACAAAACATACGACAGCGGGTCAGGCAGCGTGACTTTGTCTTTCTCTTTGCGCTTCGATGACGTCGTGAGTGAGAATACGCCCCAAATATTCACTGCAGGACAAAACGCTTCATCGTCGTCTCGAAAGATCGTGTACTCTTCCTCTCCAGCTTCGATTCGAAGTGAGCCGTGAGCAGCAAAGGCTGAGTAAAGTCGAAACGGAGAAACTGGTCGTCGTTGCTGCAAAAAGCACGTCGTGCACAGCTGCACGGCGGTGTCGTGGACCGAGCACGGCTTCGGTGTTGTTAACATAGCTGCAGTGATACCCAGCTTGGCTTCCAGGTTGCGACATACAACGTAAGGACCGAGCCAGATAATGTTTTGAAAGGGTTTCGAGCGCTTTGTACTACTCAATTCTTCAGTCTCAATCCGTAGTGGCGATGGAGTAGTACAATAACTAGAGAGTGTGCGATCTTTGACGCCATGTTTAGTAGCATGATGCCTGTGAAAGTAAAATATTAGTAGCTATATAGACAGAATAAAGTTGTGAGTATCAAACCTTGTCAATTCTCGTCGTGTGCGGAGCTGCAGAGTTTCGCATCCTTTGTGCCTGCAGGGGAAGTAGCCGACCATCATTTTGTGGTCTGTTGTAGTCCAAGGAGCCTCTCGAGGCCAGTACGAGTGCAGATACTGGTCCACTACGGGGTTGCCACTCGCAAGTCGCTCTCGTCCTTCGTGGGTCTGTACTTGGTGCAGTCGTGCCATCTTCCTCGACCTGAAGGCAACACTTGTGAGTAGACATCCAATCTATTGCCACAAGAGTATTACTTAGCGTACGAAAAGCACTTGCCACACGCTGGATGGCCACACACGAACGCATGAGAGCGACGAGAAGCAACGTGGATGATCTGCTCACTTCGAGCTTCTCGGGGCAGTGTCTGTATATCCCCAGAACAATTAATTAACGTGTAGCTTAACAACAAATCCACTGTACCTTTAGCTCGTAGATGAGACGATGTAAGTCTTGAGCGTTGGGAGGTGTCGAGTCTTCCCGAAACAGCATCATATCGTCTACGGTATCCGGAATCATACGTCGAAGTGGGGACTCTGTAAACATCGGTGTCGTCTCCGGACGCGTCGACCTTTCGGACTGTTCCTCTTCCGGAGAATTGCGCCTTCCATGGCGTTGTACGTTGACTTGAGTGTCGTACTGGAATCCGAGCTTCGCCATTTTTTCTTCGAACGCATGAGCCCTCGCGGGCATGGCCTGTGTTGTTTTAGAGCGATCCAGACCGAATTCCCGGTGCAACATCTCCATCAACGGAGCTCTGGGCAGAGATTTGCCTGTAGCCATTGGGGTTAACTTCGCAACGCGCGTACCATAGCGGATGTGGCTCACGACTTGAGGCCATTTAAGCTGCAACAACGTCGAGTTCTTGAAGACGAAATCTACAAAGTCTCGGTGGTCGCGTAGCAGATCGTGACCTTCCTGACAGTCTCGCAATCGGTCTGCAATGGCATCCACAGACGGTAAAGCTTCGTTCACTGCTGTGTCTCCCGCTTGGAAACTAACGTTAGATTGAATCTCACGTCGAAGACAGTCGATAGCCGTCTGGATGACGCCACCCACATTTGTGTTTGGGTTCCTCTTGCTACGAACGAGAGGAACGTGACGCAGTCTCGTGAGTTCCACACGTTGTTCGCTGCTCGCTTCAAGACGCCCAAAAGAACTGCGCTGCGTCTACACAAAAAAAAATCAATTAAATAAACACCCATTTACTGAATAAAACGCCGTACCTTAGAGTACTGGACGTCGAATCTAACGTTTCTTTCTCCATTCATTTCTATCTGCTGATGAATTGCAGTTATCTTGGCTCTGCGAATAATTCGTTCGCCTTCCATCTTCCCGACCACATCGACACAGGTGCCAACAGGTAAAAGTGCTTTAGAAATAGAAATTGACTGCGCCAACGGGTCTCGTTTCTTAACGACATGTCGTCGCAATTCTTTGCTCGCAATTTCAGCCTCTTTGGCTTCTCGACGAGCTTGCTCCGTGTGTAGCCATTGCTGCTCTTCTTCCCACTGCTTCGCGTACATTTCTTCCCTCGCCAGACTCCAGCCACGTTGACCATCACGATCTTTAATCAAGTCCAAGATGTACTGATACTTGTACGCGTGTCCTCTGTTAACTACGCGGTCGGTCGCAACTGAGCGCATGTGTTGACTTCTGTCCTTATGATACGCGAACGAAGGCAGTAGCAGTGCGTAGCGTTCACGACCGACCGTCATACTGTCACTAAGCTGTCCTCTAGCGTCCGTGGGTGTAATCCCAAGCCATTCCCAACGTCTCAGCATGGCAACCCAGCAGGAATTAGCTGTCAACCGTCCTATAAATCCCCTAAAGACACGCTGTATCGTCATGACACCGCACTGTGTCCTTATCTTGCGACTGGGGACAGAATACGACCCTGAAGACTGCGATTTTATCACAATTTTCCCGTACTTAAAGCCATTGCACGGGTTGATAAAACTCGCAACGAAATGGACGCCAGGGTCGCCACGCCACAGACGGCGCGTGAGCCATCCCCGAGCGTGTTTCTGTATGCGGATAGCGCTCTCGTATCGCTGTTTCACCTCCTTATATCGATAATATCTCCGCCATTGTCGCTGGATCTTCACTGTCCCTACTAAACTACGCAGACGCGCCGCCATCTCCTGCTCGTACACGTCTTGGCGGCGTTTCCACTGCGTAATATGCGCGCGAAGAATTCGATACGCGCGAAGCCTTCGGAACGTAATCAGCTGCGTCTCCATATCTGTATAATTCACCTCGGCTTGACGTTGCAACGCCTGCATGTACGCTACTTCCTCCCGTATAGTTCTGCCTAATATCCGCTGTCGATACAGTCGGAAGTTGCGCTGTAGACGAAGCGCAGCACAAAGCTCGCGAAACTTTTTCCGCGCTAACGCACCACGTAACAAACGTTGGATATGTGGCACAGCGTTGTGAACTCTTTCGTGTTCATTTTCGAACTTGCGGCGTCCTATAAAGCCGCGTACGAACCGCTGGAGCACACGACACGCTGCTATCCGATATATCGCAGCGTGTTCGTAACGTAGCAACTTAACGCGTCGACGCGCGCGATTCCCTCGAAAAATACTTTGAATACGCGTGGCGACGAGCTCAGCTCGTCGAACGAACTGTAGACGCCAGAGAGCGTCCTTAACGACGGTAGACACGGCGTTGGGATGGTTAAGTACTTGGTTAATAGTTGTGGTAGTTAACACACGCACGTTCTTGATAATTTTATGTAATAAAGAGCGACGCGGATGAGATGGAAGCACCACGACGGCGTGTGTGAACTCCATGGAATTTGGGGGCGGACACTTGGGAGCGAGAGGATGTCGCTGGATGGGAGCCACGACTTCTTCTCTCTTGCATTCTTTGATGCCAGGCACGTCGAATTCCGAGTCGATAAGCTCGATACTGCCGCGTTCCTCGAAGGATAAACTGGTTAAGTACGCTTCGAGATGATTGTGACACATTCCGAGGCGATTCTTCCGGTCGATTGGAGGACATGTGCGTGCTTTCGTCCCGTACGTTTGGATACATTGCACAGCGTGGAAACCACAGAAAGGAAGACACGAACCTTGCAGGTTTGGATGCATCAGCACAAGGTTCGTACAGCGCCAGACGTACGACTTCTCCGAGTGCTCTTTGTGCCACGCACAGAGACTTCTTGGCGTTAAATTACGCCTCGGTTCAGCTGCTCTTTGGAGCGGCAACTTCATCATGACGTCACGTTTTATTTCTTTACGAGTGTTGGTCTCACATACGCCTGGCGTTTGCAAGACTCCGAGTCGAGGAGGAACTTTTTGCAGCGTCGCACGGAGACGACCCGCAGTCGATTCGTAGCAATGCAGACACATACCGAACTCGTTTGCCACTTCAATAACACGAGACTTGTCCGTAGGATGCTCATCATAACCACATTCTTTAACATGCCACAGACAGAAGCGCTTGGTCTCCACATTCTTCTTCTTGTCTGAAGGCAACACGTTATTGCAATGATACACCTTGCCTCCGATACGCTCTCTGTGTAAATAACGTTATTTACCCGTAATTTACCCATGATGACTGTTATAACTTACCTCCAACAACACTGACGATCACTAGCTATTAGTAGTTGCCCTCCATGCTGATCTACGTGGATAGTGTTGCTCATTTCTTCCTCCATCGCAGCTTGGACGTCGCCAAATCGCGTCTTGACCGTCGAGCGCACGTCTTCCCTGTCGAATCTGACCTTAAGCGCAGCGTTCGCACTCACGACACTGTCCTTCCACAGCCATTTCCCTTCTTCTACTGCTTGTTTCTTCCTGGCATTCCACTTGGATAGAGACGTGTCTTCGTCTCCATACGCATCTAGCGCGTTACGCAGCATACGCTTCCCCTTCGTCTTGGTACGTGCAGCACTCAACGCTGTCGACATGGTCGAGTTGTCCGTCGCTCTAGCTCATTAGCATTGACCACAAATCGCTTCTAACGAGGCGTTTCTAACCTCCAAAAGTATCAATGGTCACGTCAACTGACACAAAATTTCTTGAAATAACTCCAGGTTTTAAACCAACAAATGTCAGAGAAAGGGTCGAAAAACCTTTGGTAATCTATCCGTCATTTATTCGAATTTTATCCCAAAGGCCGGTCTATCCGATTCTCCGCACAGTCCCCAAGACGCCGTCGAAGCAGAAGAAGTTGCAGACCGGCGCGTCCTTCTGCGAGATGGCCTTGATCACCTCCTGACCCATGATCCCAGCCACGATAGCGCAGACCGGCACCAGATCCGCGTCTGCCACTCGTAGCAACGTTCTAACAGCATCCAAATACGGAGTTAGCTTCCAGCATCTAATACTAAGTACGAATAGCAAACGTACTGCAACTCGTCCGGGGAGAGATAATCTTCGTCCAGTCCGTTGGCTTGGAATTGCTCTCTGGCGTACTGAATAAAGTCCACCGCGTGGTTGTCCGTAAGCTCCTTGACGTCTTTGTGGCTCTTGTAGCCCTGTAACACTTCACCGCACTCGTCAGCTCCTCCCCTTTATAACTCAATAATTTCCTTAACGTACGTTGGTTCTTGACGAAGACTGGAGGCAGCTGCGGCGCGCGTTTACGGGCGCTGTTCAATGAGCTCCATTGGACCTTCTGGGCCTCTTGTAGAGTTGGAAACTTGACTGTAACTGGGTCACTGGGTGCACTATCGACTCCTACAGTGTTGCGACGGAATGTATGGTCACCTAGATCGGCGAATAGGATGCCATCGAAGCCGAAAGTCCTGGCCGAGTAGAAAGCGATGCCCAACGAACGACACAGCGCGTCTAGTCGCAGCTCCGTGACCTGGTTGGCACCTACTAGACACACGACGGTAAATTGCTTGAAGAAGGCGTCGGAGAGCTCGTTTAAAGGCTTAATCTCGCTCGACACCTGTACCAGAGGGTTCAGTTCCTGCACACGGGGCAGGCACGCCTCGGCACGCTAATTAATTTACAGTTAGAGAATTCGGTTCGAGTTAGGGATCTGATTAGAGCGTACATTCTTGTCCACGTCTTCATCGGACAGGAAGAATTGCGTGGCGATGGCTGTGGGTGTCACTGTCTGCGAGTCGTGTAATGTCACACTCATTCCAGCCAGCACGAGGTTCTTAACCAGCTCCGAGCCCAACGCTGTGAGCCCACTGACCAGCACACGTGAATTCTGAAGCCGCTTCTGCGCCTCAACGCCCCAGAGTCGCATCTGCCGGTCGTAGACGGCCGCCTCGGCCGCGCTGAACGTCTCCGCCATAGTTTGTTGGTGCAAGTCAAGATATGATGGCGACACATAATGAACACAAAACAGGCGAGCCAAAAATTGATTGATGGCTACATTTATAGCACAGTATCGATACATTATCAACCCAGGCTGTATTCTGATGATTGCGAGCTCTGATTGGCTGGAAAATCGGTACTTGCCATGTTTTAAACTTGTACCACGCTTATTTTTTTTTAAAAATGAGGTGCGCTTTGCAGCCTATGTTGCGGACACCCCTCTCTTACAAATTTTCAGTTAAATCGTCTATACAGTAGTAGACCTAAGTAAGGGATGCAAACTCAGTGGTTCAGAACGAACAGCGCACAACAGAATCCACCGCTACGAGCACCAACTTCTATAGGGTAGAGCTTGAGAAGCTCATATCATTCAAGGACGCCAAAACTTATGACGCCGCCCATAGCTCCTAAACGGAAGAACTCTTCGTCATACTGAGGAGTACGCCGCCCATAGCTTCCCAACGGAGGAGCTCTTCGTAATACTAAAGAGTTCCTTCGCTGGGAAGCTATGGGCGGCGTCGTAAGGCACCGGTCGTGGTGTGTCGCTGGATGACCAAGAGTGTCTACGGAGATCCAAAGCCAGACGAAGACATGAGGCCAATACATTTAAGATCAAGTACACTGGAGTTCGCGAAAAAAAGCCGTTTCCGCGTTTATTCCTCGACTAAATACGACGTGGGATCCAGTGATACAGCAAGGAAACCCAACGCGCTCAGATGAAGTCAACAAGCTGATAAAGATAGTGAAGTGTTTTATAATCCGCCGGGAAGGTGTTGAGTCGAAAGCACGGCGCTCTGTTGAATTTGACGCATTTTGAATGTTTTGGAAGTAATACGATCGCCGAGCTCACGAACCAGCAGCATCTTCATGGGTATCTGTGTTTTGACACTCCAGTGGCATATAATAGCTCGAATCGACGCCATGATGAAACTCCAGTTTAGTAACTTGAGCTACAACTCTCAGTAACCACCGATGCTTATATGTCAAATGCAGTGGTTGAAGATTATTTCTGAAGAAAGAGATGCACACAAGTAGGTGCTTTGTGGTAGCATGGACCCGTGTAGGTGCCCTCTGCCAAATTTTGCTGCCTACCCTGAGACAACGGCAAATGTAACGAGTTCTTTAATTCTTTTTTGGCAATCCGGAAGATGGCGATCGTGTTCTGAGGCGAGTTTTAGCAGACACGTTTCAAAATTCAGAGTTTAAGACTATGAAGACAGAAAAGTTGGGTACACACAGCTTTCGTAAGGGCGCCGCTACATACGCAACTCGTAGAGGTGTGTCGAAGGACTTTGTGAATCGTCGAGGGTGGTGGAGAGCTCATAAGGGGGCGTTCATAAGTACATCGATAACACATAGCCCTATCCTGACGCCTACACCGCTGCAGGCTTGGTCGGTCCTGCTGGACCTTGCTCTTACTCCCTAAAATATGGAATAAGATGCGTTACACCTTTTTCTTGTCGACGATTTTCCGCCTACTATCAAGTAGGTCATGGGTGAGTGCATAGTGGTGAAGAGGAAGAGAGAGTCTTCGACCGCAGTCTGGAAGGCGATGCAGACGAGCAGGTTGTGTCAGTTTTAGCTGCTGTGGAACGGTTGGAGCGGGTGTGAGAGTGAGGGTTTCGCGGGATCCGCGTATTAGTGTGAGGCAGAGGTGAAGGAGCTGCGAGGTCGCGAGGAGTGTCGAATATGAGTGTGAGCTCATAGACGGACGTGCTGCGCGAGTTGTTCGCCGACGAGTTCAAGGAAACTGAGGAAGGAGACAGCGGCAGGACTGAGACCGACGTCGACATCAAGACAGAGGTCAAAGAAGAGCCGAATATGAAGAGAGACGTCGTAGCAGATGTCTCTGCACGCAGCGAGGATCTCTATACGACGGATGCATACTACAGCGAGCACTATGATACTAAAGAGGCATACGACTCGGCGTACGACACTGAGTATGAGTAGGATGGCGTGGTGAAAAGTGAGCGCAAGCCCAGCTGGTTTATTTCCCGAAAGTACGACTCTTGACCGCCCTGTGGGTGTTTCTTCTGCAACGATCCTCGTCATAACATAACCGGATGCCCTCTGATCGAAACCCTGAGCGCGATGGTGCCGCAGGATACTAGTCCACGGAAGTCGCCGAGTCAGCCTGCTTCTCGGCAATGATGGGAGCGAGGAGAGGAGGAAGGAGAAGCCACTCCTTCCTCTAGTCTAGGTAATGTTTCAAGTGACAGTGGCGGGAGAAGATCGAGAAGAAGAAGAACGTCTGCTGCGGTCGAGGTGGACGAGGTAGAGGAAGCTGTCGACCGAGGAACGATGATGTGCCGGCTGTGGAGGCTGTGGTAAAACCCCGACAGTTCCCGATACGATCGAGACGCTTGAGGACGCTGAGAGGGTTGTTGCAGAGCGAAAGGCTGCGGCGGGTTTTAGCGCTACTGAGATGTTTGTGGCGGAAACGAAGGCAGAGGAGGTTTGTGTGTCTACGGGAGAAGAGGAGGATGTCTCTGCAGTGAACGACAGTGCGGAGGATTGTGAGGTCGTGGTGACTGAGGAGACATTCCAGTGGACGAAGATGAAGAGGGGTTTTGGGATGCGGTAGAGCGTGTGTCGGGCGGTGAGTCTGAGGAGTGCGTGGACAAAGAAGAGTCTAATGAAGCGTCGTTGGCCACGCTCGCCGTGACGACTGAACCGACGGACAAGAGCAGAGGAGTCTCATTATCTCGACTGCGTCACCTATCCCGGGTGGGTGCTGAACCTCCTCTCGAGTCTGCTACGAATAAACCGTTGGCTTTGGCTGTTGACTGGAGGCCATCGGAGGACGTGGGAATTGGAGTGGGGGAGACTGTATTCGCTGCTTGGACGCTGGAGGATGACCCCGATGGGACGGTTGTCGTGGTGGTAGCGTAAGAAGTCGTCGAGGTGGCGGTTGCAAAAGAAGCGGCGACCGTCCCTGACCATGGTGAGGTCGTCAGCTACTTGGGTATGGATGACGAAGCTCCGAATACTAGGTATTCACGTCTTTTAACGGACTCGGAGCTTGAGGCTATGGAAGCATGTGACCCCGGTGAAGACGAAACGGTTCTGACTAGAGTGAAAGTAGCATCGTACCGCATAAGGCTTGTCATCTCAGGCTTCACCATTCATTTTCGGCGTTGAATCAGTATCCAGGCACAAAACAAGCTCGAACTGAGTTTCCATTTGACAAACTAAACAAATAAGAGCCAATACACGAAACAGCCTTAGTAAATCCACCATCTGTTACCGTAGGCGACAGAAAAATACACACACCGAAAGTCGGCATTTTCGTCATTTTTTTCCAGGAAATGACAGAATACTAGATTAGTTATGTCACTGCCATGACAAAAGTAGTCGATGACAAAATCAACTGACATTTTAACCTAAACGCGCTCGGGTACATTATCTGCCCTTAAAATTCCGGAAAATGCGTGCGTGCATTAAAATACGTGACAGCTATCGAAATTGCTAGTACGATTTTGAGCACTATCTAAACCTTTGTGCGCACCCCTAACTCTTAAATGATCCGGAGAAGCTACATGTACAAGAAGATGACTATAGCCACAAGGTACGCATCTCTGCTTACACGCAATACCCATATTATGTTCAGCGCTTCCACACGACGATTTAAAGCATTTTAACTGGGGTGAAAAAGCTTAGATATTTCGACAATGTCTGCGGGTGTTCTCTTATCGTATACGGTACTTCAAAATCCAGAAATCCAATATCGTTTTTCACGGTCTGCTGCCCAGTAATCTCTCTATTGTAAGTTCCCCGTAATCACATGACTGCATAATATCCGATCCGTAATCACATGACTGCATAATATCCGATCCGTAATCACATGACTGCATAACGTTCATCCCGTAATCTAATGTTTCATCATCTCGTGCAAACACTTAGATCAATAACAATCATTTCAATCATCGCACATGTCGTCACCAGCAGTATAACCACTCTGAATGTCGCACGGTGCCCGCGTATCCTTGTTCTGACTCACAGCTCAGAATCCTGAAAACCTGCCAAAAAGAGCAATACAGTAAATACTCTTACTTCCGGTATCGTGGTCCGACCATATCCTAAGATTTTATAAAGGGAACACTACAAATATAACTGAGAAGCAAGGAGAATAATATCCTCCACATCTACATCTGATCCGTAGCTTGTGAAATCGGTATCTTTGCTTCTTTCATCTACGGCATTAAAGATAATGCCCGTGTGGCGAAAGCAGTTCTCTATGGTACGCTAAGGATGCGATGATGCCAGCGTCCATAGGTTGTAGTAGCGCAGTAGCGATATCTTGTCCTCTGTAATAGATTCGCCCTTGAGGAACAAGTTGTAGATTTGTATTGTACACGCGATCCTACGGTCGTGGGCAGTTGCTAAGGGAGTGGTCGCGTGCCCTTTCCACCTGGAGAATGCCCACCTGAAGATTTTTTCAAGTGATCTGATTGACCAATTGAACTCCCTCTCGACAAGACAACAGGAGAGAATCTTCTCCACATAAAATAGGTGGAGAGAGCTGGAGAACTCAGTCAGTGCAGCATGAACAGCGAAGAAGCCCTTCTTCCTCTCTCAGGACTCGTTGCGACCGTAGCCGCCTTGGCTGCTTGCAGTCGTGAAGCTAGTGAGCACCAGCAAAGACGCACAGCCACTGTTCTGCACTTCGAAGCTGTGCTGGAAGATGCAGCCTGTGAAGTATGATTTTTTACGATGCTTCGGTGTTCAAAGGCGTCTTTCCTAGCTATAGCAGAACAATTGAGGCTGCGGGATGTCTTGTTCGCAGGTTGCGTAGCAAAGCAACATTCCTACGAGAAGAAAAGTGCCGCGGCTCTCTATTCCTTTGCATCGCCTAGTGGTTACCGAGAAGTAGCTGCAGCAATGGGCATGAACAAGAGCTACGTAATGGATATCGTAGATGAGGTTTGTCGTGTGCTATATTTATCGACTTGTGATGCAGTGTCATTTCCTCGGGATCATCAAGGTTGGAAGGATCTCCAAGCAGGGTTCGCAGCACGGCGCGGATACCCTGGTGTTGTTGGTGCAGTCGACGGATCGCTGCTAGCTATTGATCGCCCAGAAGACTACGATGGTTTTTATTGTCGAAAAGGTTATCCTGCTTTAAGCATTCAAGCAATAGTGACAGCTACCAGCATATTCATGAGCGTGGAGATTCGACCAGGTTCATGGTCTGATAGTAAGTCGTGGAAACACAGTATTATTGGGCGACGCGCAGCTTCAATAATTCCTGTTGGCACTCACTTTATTGGTGAATCTGGTTACGCGCTGCTCCCTCATCTGATGGTTCCATATGCGGAACGCGAGGAAGGTGGGCGGCTAAATGCTTTGCAGCGTCGCTACAATTTTCTCCACTCGAGCACACGAATGGCTGTTGAGTGTACATTTGGGCTTTGGAAAGGACGTTTCCGTGTCCTGCAGACTGTGATGGATGAAAAGACCATCGTGATGACGAAGCGAGTGGCTATGGCAACTATTGTTTTTCACAATTGGATGCTAGCATTACGGGACACCACACGAATTACACCTTATGTTGAGAGCACTGAATATGAAGCGAGTGAAATTGACGACCACTCCGCGAGTGACCATGCTTCGTAAAATTGGAAAGCAAAGACGTGATGGAATCGCAAGTATAATTTATTAAGCGAAGATAGCTTGGTTTGAGTCTGCAACAGGCGTTGCGGCAGTTGACCTTGAAGCTGTGAAGGCTTCTGCAATTTCTTCATGCCGTCGTCGATGGCAAGCATACCCTCTGCTAGTGTCAACATTTTGTGGCATTTTTGAGGCCGTGCGGCTCGCCAGCCTTGACGTCGATCGTTTGATGATGCTTCCCTACGGTCATGCTGTTCACTTTCCTCGCCTTCTTCTTGTCCATCGGAATCACAACTATCATTATCTGCATTTTCAGAAACCTCTGCATCGTTCCCATTATCATATGAGCAGTGATGCCGCCTGTCCGTTGCTAGTCTAGCGTCACTAGAAAAGAATGCCTCGCTTTGCATGCCTGTCATTTTTCTCCACATGTCGCACATGGTGTCATAGCAGGGAGGCTCTCGTAATGGGATCTCCGTCCTGTTGCCAGTGTCACGCTGAGCAACACGATACTCAGTATACTGCTTCTGCATGTATTTAATCTTTGCAAAGTACAGCGAGCAATACCAAGTTAGCTTAAGTACACGGAGTGAAGTACAGTTAGTCAGCACATCGATATGAATTACCTTTGATTTCCACTGCTTCGGGTTTACCCCCCCCCCCAGCTTAGATACTTCTGCGGCCAGCATGATCCACGCAGCCTTGAGCTGCGACGAATTTCTTGTGCCTTGAAATCGGTGCTTCATAGTTCGGAAGCGCACTTTTAGAAGCACCTCAGCTGCATGTACAGTCCACGGGAACGGCTCTTCACTAGCCTCTGCTGTAGATTCTGGCAGCTGCACTTGTGTCGACTGTATCGACGGGTTTCGCTCTACACTACCATCCACACTTGAGATATGGTTATGCTGCTCCAAAGGACTCAACGAGTAGCTAGACTCGAGATTGCCTGAGGGCTGAGTCGGCGCTATCTGCGTAGTCAACGGCAGGCTGCTGGGTGCCACAAGACGTCCGTGGATTCATTTAACGCTGGCGATGTCTGCCGAGCCGGAGATAGCGTGGCAGGAGTCTCACTGAGCGGCTCATGCTGTTGCAGCGATCGCTGCAGGATAGGAGGGTCAGGACGACGACGACTCATGCTGGTGCTCGGCAAATTTGAAACTGAACACAGATGATATTTGATTGGCTGGTCTAGGATTCAAAGGAGCGGTCCTCCATCTAGAGGTGGAAAACAATGCGACCTCACCTGGAAACATCATCCATCTCCAGCCCCAGGTGGAGAGGGCACACTACCACACCCTAAAAGCTGGTTTAAAAGTGATGGTAGCTTACACATAATTCTCCTACTGGTGTATCGTAGGGCTGTATCTCTTTTGTATTAAAGCAGTAAGTACAGTATTTTTACTACATGTACTTTTAACCCGTTTTTATACAGTATTACTACACTTTGTAAGCCCTTAAATGAGTATCCGTCAGAAATGTAATCTTTTTCACTGCGTAGGTACTTTTTCATAGTGATCAGCTGGTCTGCGGTTCGTCACAAACCACATCAAAACTAGGCACAAGCTGGGTGGGTTCGTAAATCCATGCACACTCGTGCTTGATAAGTAAAGCAGACTGTTAGCTTCAGTCGCCGTTCTTCTCCGAACGCAATACCAAGTCAACATGGCATCAAGTAATCTTCTCTCTTTCTCAAAACAAGCTCTTTAATGATTACCGTGTACCTTATGGCTGGTGTTCCTCACCTGATCGTTTAAGATGCACTCAATCCCGTCGTTAGTCATAGCGTCGATATACTGCTTTTATTCTTCTTCAGAGGATTCCTATCCCAAAATGTTCTTTGGCCTGTAAGACAGTTGATTGTTTGTGTTCGTTTAAAAAAAAACTACAGTGCCTACGGTAATTAGTCTGTGTGAATAAATAGCCACAGTTCGAAATTAGTCACACCGTTCGAATGTGAGACTAATTACCGTGAGCAAGAAAATGTCGTGTTCAAAATTAGTCTGAGTTCATAATTAGTATCACCTTATTTTGGGCATTCGAATTGGCGCAGTGGAAAAGACTGTCCCGGTTTACACTCCTGGCGTGAGTTCGAGTCCCTCCGCAGCAACGGACGGTGCTCGCGTTTTACTGGTGATGCAATAACAGGTCATTGAATAAAAGTGGGTTTCCCACTTACCCTCAACGCGGCACACTACGAAGCAGCGGGTTATGTTTTTTAAGGATATGAATTATACTTTTAATAGAATAATAGCTATGCAGTTTCCTTAAGCTTATTTGAAGAGTATTTGATATTTTATAATTGGAAATGTTATTTTTATGTGACTGCGTCTCTTGGAGGCTAATGTGGTCTATTCTCATTCCAGAAATTCTTCCAACACACCAACGCCTCTTCTCCCTCTAAGAACTGTCTTTTAATAAACTACAACTCAGCTCAACTTTCCCCGTGTGGTGGCTGTGGTGACCTCGTTGGTCCTATTCACGTCTGCCCAATCTGCTCTGTTCATATGCACCCATTTTGTGGGAAACCTGTCGGACAAGAGGGCTTTGGACAGCATGTTCTCTGTCCAGACTGTGATTCAGGCAAACCTCAAGCTATATCAGCTCCTCCTATCATAAAAGCTTTCGCGCTACAGGGAGCAAAAGATTCGATCTCTTCGAAGGATGATGCCAACGATGACGACTCAGAAGAGAGCTCTGAAGGCGACATAATCTCTATTTCCAATGTGGTCGTGACTGAGTTGCCAACGTCAACATCATCTTGAGCGTCACAACAGGTTAAGGAAAACTTAAGAATCCAGGAAAGCATTTTTTTTCTGTCCCTGGCTGCTAAAGCAGTACGCTAAGTCAACTCTCAAAGGGACAAGAATAATGTGAACTACGCTCGGAAAGCCATGATTCGATGCGGACTCTCGCTGGATGTTGATGGTGTATGGAGAACTGAACAGCTATTCAGCCACCTTCAAGTAATCATCAAGAAGTTCCCAGATCAATTTGCTGGACAAGCGGTTCCATTGGATATGGCAAACAAACACACAAAAAAACAAAAGAATAACCAGACCAGCTTCTCAACAATCGTAAACTAGTGTGACTTATTAAGGTGAGACATTAATTAGTCTAAGTGTGACTAATTCTACCACACCTTAAATAGTCAGAGTGCATAATTAACCACACTCATACTAATTTAGGTGAGCAGAGTCTGCAGCACCTCACATAAATTAGTATGAGTGAGACTAAATACCGTAGCTACTGTACTAGTAATACAATTTTATTAATTTTAGAAATATTGTATGAAGTAACATTCAGCGTTGCTGCTGGGACAGACAAGCAATAAAAGAATGCAGCCGAGAGAGACGGCAACTGCTTCATGCGCATCGAGAAAAAACGCCATACCGCCAAAATAAGTGGGTTCAAGCGAAAGCGACAAGAATCGCTATTGTGCCAACTTGCTGAGCGTTTTCTGGAAAAGGTTGCGTAGACGAGTAATCAGCTGGAGATATTATGACCTTGTGATAACTATAAGCATCCAAAGCTTGCGCTAGCTGATACCACTGCTGCGGATGCCAACCCCGGTGCCTTTGTCTTCAATAATGAGCGGCTTCTCGCATTGTACTACATGTACCAAGGGGATTGTTTAGGCCCAGATGACTATCCTTGCTATTAACACAGTGGGGCCTCGACTTATAAGGAAACGGCTCCCCTTCCGGCACCGGAGCGGTTGAAATCTTTATATGTTTCAGCAGCCAGTCAAATCAAATCTTCACTTTTTAACTGTATATCAAATCTTCACTTTTTAACTGTGAAAAATGGCTGCAGTACTCTGATTGGTTGATATATCAATGGCACTGAAGGCTCTTCCTTCTACGCTATAGTTCTAACATGCAAAGATGCCCACCGACATACCGGAAGTAGGTATTTGTAGTGACCGATTTTTCACCAATTACGTCAAATCTTCTTATCTCAGAGGAAGGTGAGCGCTGAAAAAGATGGGGGAGGTAGGTTTGATCTGATTGGCTGCTGAAATCTCACTTCTTTTCATGATAACCACTAATGATACGAGTACTATTTTCTGCCAATGCAAATATCGCTCTCACTTCCGGTATCGTGGTCCGACTATCTCCTTGAATTTGATATAGTAAAAAGTTACAAGCTCAGCTGTGAGGCTAAGATAATGACAGCTTCTACGTCTACATCGGGCCCGTAGCTAAATTGCTCGGTTGATTTACTTCTCTCATTTACGGCATTAAAAGTAATGCCTGTGTGGCGAAAACAGTTCTCGATAGTACGCTGATCCACAGCATATGCCTTCCTTTCAATCTCAACACCGTCCTTGATCTTGTCGAAAACCCACCGCAACTGCTTCTTTCGGTACTCCAGTTTAAATGATGCAATGATGCCAGCATCCATAGGTTGTAGGAACGCAGTAGTGTTGGGCGGAAGAAACTGCTGTTCACTATCTTGGAGGCGTCTTGAAGGATATCAGAAACAGTAGTTTGCGCCGGCACTCGCTTCAGCTTGAACGTCGCTTTTGCCCATGCCGCCAGCTCTTCTTGCGTCATGCTGGGGCAGTCGCTCGCCTTCTGGGTGAAATCGCGCTTCTGTTTTGTCTTCATCCAGGCTCCCATGGGTATGGGCCGACGTAAATTACGCACTGTTCGACATTAACACGGTTCTGCTCCTTAGAATGACTGGAGCTGAGCATTTCCCGCCAGAAACTCCCCCCTTAAAACAGCTGCATCGCTTTGCTCAGGGTATTAATTTATACAAGTACCGAAATAGAGAGCGATGTTTGTACTACACCTGTCGAAAACGGCAGTCAAACTCGTAACTTAAAAATTGGCAAATAGGAAAATTACGGTAGGAGCCCCTAATCAGTTTCATATTCAATGTTGAAAAAACTGCAATCAACCTCGTACAAGATTTGCGCGACTGGTGGACAATCTCCCTAGGGAAGGCGCGAAGCACGTCAAGATGACGCCTGAAGCTAAGGTCCTCCTGGAGGAGTACCTGAATGATAACTGTACCTATACGCTGGACACTATGAGGACAATGTTGTTTCTGGCCTGTGGCGTTAAGGTGGACACGTCGACGATTAGCCGGCACCTGAATGGCATGCTGTTTACCGTACAACAAGTGAGAGTCGAGCCCACAGCGTGTAATAGCGATAGCAACTGAGAAACGACGTGTGTTCGCCGTGAAATTAAAGGAGCATCAAGACGCAGGTAGCTTTGGCGCGAGTCAAACAGAGCCTATCGTTTTGGCGCGAACCAGTCGCGCAAATCTTGTACATGTACCAGGTTGATTGCAGTTTTTTCAACATTGAATATTAATTAGGGACTCTTACCGTAATTTTCCTATTTGCCATTTTTTGAGACGAGTTTGACTGCCGTTTTCTAAGAGGTTGGGTGCACAAAGGTGTAGTAGTCAAGGGTTGTGAAGTCCCTTCTCGCTCAAGAAGCACCGCTACTCATTTCGCAGAGTGCGACTTAAAGCTCTGTACCCTTCAATTTTCCATACCATGCGCCTGGCAAGTATGGTGTTCACTCCGGTAATTGCTATTAGCTTCGCGTCCTGCAGTGTAGCAGAGTTCGACCAAACCAAGATATTGATGAATGAATTACCAGCTCACTCTCACGTTTCAGCCAGAGGAATATTTCTTCGCACGCCTCAAGAGAATGAAGCAGTGGCTGAGAAGCGAGCCCCGAATTTTAACTTGGCTGAACTAAAGAAGGGAGACACGCTAAACAATTGGCCGAAGATCTCATGGGCAATCCTCGGTTGCCGAAAGCTGCATTCCAGTGGTGGGAACATAACCAGTATTCTTTGTCTAAAATTGATGAGTTCTTGAAACGGGCGAGTCGCAAGGCTAACGGCAAGAATTTCGATGAGATCTACAATGGATACTTGCTGCATCGGGGGTATGCCGGAGTCTTGTTGTCGGTAGCTAGCTTTCGAGCTGACTTGCTATTACTACTACGCTTATGTGAGCACTTGGAGATTATACAAAATGTTGTTCTTAATTACACTAATGCCAGCACTTTAAGATGATAAGAAATGACGTAACCACGTACTAGGGGCACGTAGAAACAGTCTTGACAGCCTTTGGAAGTCTTCTTATTGTGAAGTACTAATACGAAGTACTACGTAAATGCTCGCTATATTTGGCGCACTAACTCTCTGTAGTGCGATCTCGTCAGCAAGACGAATTAGAGAAGAAACTGGTCGAGCTCTGTCACCGGCATGAGATGACAACTCAAAGCCAACCAGCTTAAATTTAATAAAAGCCAAACCTAAATGTAACTCCGTCAGAAATCCTGAATCCAATGGCTGAACAGAATTTGTGCATCTATATACTAAAAAAATACTTAAATTATTATCTGAATCCAATCTAATATTTTATTCGTAGATATCGTCCGATCTTCTATGTCTGAGGGGATACCTTAAGCGAGCAAGCAAATTTAACTGTAAAGTCATTTTACTACTCCCGTACCGGCAACAACACTATCGTAAAATACATGCCTGCGTATAGATTGGTACGTTTCATTTAGCAAAAAAAAAACCCGTTAGTATTTTCAGCCTGAAACGTATTTGAACCAATAGAATGATTGTAAGGTATCTAACTATCTAAGTCCAAGTGTAGCCGTCAAAAAGAAAATTTTCTTTTTACTCATGCTGAAGATTCCGCTACCATTATCTTCTCTCCTTTCATTTGCCAGACAAACGCTGCTCCAATGTCTGAGCAATCCAATAGTTTCTGTCGTCTTGTTTCGCTGTTGCGATCATCTTCCCGAGCCCCGCATCATCAATACCAGCCTTTTTGAACCACGAGACCAGCAGCTCATAAGGGTCGTTTCTTTTCATCTTCCACACATAATGAAACCAAATCTCCAAAATCGGATTTTTTAAAAGAGTAGTGCCTGCGTCATTCAATTTCAGCAGCTGGAACACCTCCATCTCAGTAATGTGATTCTTTCGCCAAGCAGTGCTCAGTTCCTTCTCGAGCTGCCCGCTAATGCGTTTGTTGACACCGCTCTGTGATGAAACAATCATTTTCGCCACGGTTACGTCGTCGTATTGCTCGCGTAGCTTTAAAAGCAATGCCTCGATGTAATCGGTACTTGGACTCTTTACATAACTCAGCCATGCCGGTAACCCCGGATTATTCAAGACGTTTTGGCCTCCTGCGTCAAGCTGGAGAATAGCGTAAACATCATCCGCACTTTTTCCACTTTCCTTCCAACTTTTCTGCTGAATTTCTTTTAGCTGATCTACCACCGTGTCTCTGCTTGTTCGCTTCGCAGTAGCCAGCATGCGCGCCAGTTCGTCATCGCCATAGTGAGCCGCCATCGTCTTGAAAATTGCTCGATCTGCTGGCAAGCGTCCTCTCTTGCAGATTTTGGCCACATAGTGCGCCCAGTCAGTAAATTCGCTACTCGAGAATACGTCGGTTTTTACTTGTTTGACCCGAAGCACTTCAAAGCGGTTATTGACCTTGAGCTGCTTGTCTAGACTAAATGTCAGTTTCGCGTTGTGAGCTAGATCTTTCAACGCCTTCACAACAGAGAATACTCTGTCTTCCGAGGCGTAGTAGGCATCAGCTGTCGTCGTCCTCAAACGTCGATAGGCTTGGATGTCAGCCAAATCAGCTCCAGCCTTGGCATCAGCTCCCTTAGTGATTGCAAGGAAGAACAATACAGCAATCGAAGTCAAGAGGGCGCCCCAGCGAGCACTACTTAAACGCTTGAACGTGATCATTATCCGTGGCTTCTGCGCTTTATGAATCAAAGTAAGAGCAGTTCACTACTTATGTGATTGGCGACGCTCGGCCATTAATCCAGCAGCCTATCAAATTGATTTAAATTTCGTGCCGTCGCGCTTTATGTGCTTGGCGACCAATATACATGTAATTTTGAAACATGTAATATAGTTTTTCTATGCAGGTATCTTTTATGCTGGCAGAAAGGCTAGACCACCTCAAGAATTTGACTGTCGCCAATCACATAAGGAACACTGTTCACCGCTGGGTCTTGTTTATGATGTGCGGTGTTCAGTACTGTACGGTACTATTAAGTAAGATAGAGACAGAACATGCCAAACACATGTATTTACTGTTTCAGCACACAGCAAATCATTTGATTTGACTTATGTATACTGAGTGTCGCAATAAGACATAATCGACGATTAGAGGTCACAGCAGAAAAGAGACCAGCCGCGCTTCGCTTGGCTGCCCCTTCGGCGCCCCCGCGGTTCGCTGCGCTCGCAATATGGAGATAGAATGTTCTGGAAAGTGTAGTGCTCGGCTCGCTGGTGAGCTCAGCGCTGGGCCCGCCTCGCACCCGCTCACCTTAGTTGGCGCCGCGGCTATGGCACCCACGTAGCCCAGCCCCGTGTGTGTTATCCCAGCGATGGACGCGTTTCTCCTTTTTTCTCTAAGATACAGTGCTATCATAATGCGGACATGTTGAAGTTATACTTCGCAGTCGGTACAATGTACTGTACATGTACCGGTAGTATCAAATTTAGGGATAGGGCTACGACGCATGATTTTGATCGAGATATTTTCATAAATTAGTACATGTAAATTCTTTCAAATATTTTGCATGCTAATATACATCCAAAAATTATCCATTTCGACGGCTACAGTCTGTAACGAAACTAAAAGCCTATTCCAATCTTCAGCAAATCATCTTTACAGTTCTATATTGAAAATTGTAAAGGCCGTAATCTATTTCGATCCCAATTGTCCGCGCTTACACTTGTCTGCTTGCCGCATAGACTGCAAGGTGGTCTAAAAGGGCGGAGTCTTGGCTCGATCGTAAATACACGCCGGCCCAAATTAAGGAGAAATTGACTAGTGTGGGCGGTGACATGAGCAACAAGAACGGAAGGAAGTACTACCTTGTTCATGAAGAAGTATAATGCGGCGAATCCGCGGCCGTGATTGGTGCATAGCGCTTCTGTGACGATTGAGACTGAAGATAAGGCACAGTTTAACCTCTTACCTTTACGCATTTTCACTTGTCAACCACAACTTTTGTGTACTTCTTATAACATCGAAATAAATGCATGTGGGTGGCTAAGGTAGCTCCACATGTCATGCCAGAGTACGACCCTTATTTCAGTCCCAACGTGATACTGAGCACGAAGGGGGGGGTCCCCAGAAACCCACACACAAATGGCTAGCACTATCCTGGATAGATAGAGCTGGTGGATATTTTATTTTCCCAATTGATGGAAAATTTCGTTAAAAATACAACATTGCATTGTGTTCATTCAGAATTCCCTTTGCTAGATTGTTACTGTACCGGTTAAGCAGTGCAAAAGCGGCATCATGTCCAACTGCTCGACGACGCAGTTTGAACATGCGGGGGTGTTTGTGGGCAACTCGCCGTCTTACTTGAAGATCATGGACTCGTGGGACCAGCAGTTGAGTGAAAATGGCTACAGCCGACTCAAGTGTGGCAGCGGCACAAGGAGCACCGGTACGTGCGGCATCATCGGTCCATTGTCCGTCTACCTTCAGCTGTAGGTGAGCTCGAAAAAAACTAACGTCAATGTGTTATTAGTCTACGCCCCCTCGCTTCTTCTAAGCGATGTTGGTAGAGGGGAGGACGCAATGGCTGAAGGGCTTAGGAAATCACGTTCGAGGCCTTCTGCAAGTGGTGCAGCGCAAGGATCCAAGAGAGTCACTACTCGAAGGAAAAACTCGTGGAAGAGATTTTCCGGTTGGTGGACGCTGATGGCGGCAGGATTATCTCGATGGTCGAGTTCGTGTCCATTTTTAAGACCTTGGGCCAAGCGCTAGACTATGACGACGGGCGTGAGGTGGTTTCCCAGATGGACCGCAATGGCGACGGTAAGATCGACCTCGAAGAGCTCTTTACGCAAAGTAAAATATACACGAAGGATGGAGCTTTTTTTACTTGCCATGGTATATAGCGACTTGTGCTCATTTTCCGAAACCCTAATGAATCCTTTATTTAAATTATTTTATTTTGACAAATAAACTATTAAGTAAATAGTACTTTTAAACACTTATTTATATTTTTTAAATTTTCGGTTTTAGGGCGAATACTGAAAATATATGAAGTAAAAAAGCGTTTCAAAAATAAATTTAGCATAACACTTTATTGCCTTTACGAAGTAGTATGTCGTCTTTTGCTCGGAAATTTCTCCAAATTCACTTTCGGGTCTCCCGCCTCTCTTGCGCTTACCAAGTCCGCCTGAATCTAGCACTAGACACGACCACATGGCCAAAACGCACTATTTCTCCAGCATGAATTCCAAATTTAAAGCACATACGCGCACGCCAGTCGTACGTGAGGTTCGCCTTATTAGAGATCTTCAGAAACACCGTCAACTAAAATCACGTCGTCTAATCGATACTGTTATTTGCTGCGTGTATTTCAGACATAGCAGCAAGTTTAAAATCAAGTTGCTGTATCGATTGATATATACAAAGCGCTGGATTGACATAGCGGGAATGTTCGGAAGAGCGCCAGCATCCGCAACTTTGTCGTTGAGTTATTGGACGGAAACCTAGCTGGCGTTTGTTACTTGATGAAACCCGTATCATCAAGAACATGGATCGCAATGGTGCTTCAGCGCAAAAGAGCCTGGAAGTATCGAGGGTATATTGATATTCACCCACGCAACCATTCGACCAATCTGCCGTATTTTGCTATGCGCACAAAGGTGGAGGAGTAAACAGACCACAGAAGGGAGCCGTGCGAGTATCAGGAGAATGGTCCTATTTTTATACGACGAAGTACTACTCCTTTCTTGATTACAAGTGACATCTGCGCATTGCTACCACACCGACGGCAGCGCTCTGGAGTCGTATTCTCGAATTGTGTAAAGATCGCCAACGGGGGAAACAACAACACTAGGTACTTCGGCTGTAACCCGTCTACCTTCGACGGAATATCTAGCATCGTATCCGAGTTGCTAGGCGATTGGTGATTATGTGAATTACAGCTCGTAATTAAGGCGTTAGTTTCTTTTTTAAACGGCGCTCCTTATTTATTCATCAAACGATGGCTCGAGTGTTTGGATCAAGAATCGGCTGGATGTTTATTTAATGCTTCCGTATTGTGAGCTACTCTTTATGGAGTTTCATTTCGCTTCGGCGGAGTGCTACCTCTTCCGACCATTTCTTTTCGCGCTCTTCTCTGATTCTTGCAAGCACAAAATTTCCTTTCCAGCGGGCCTCTTCCTGTTCCGCTTTTTTTTTAAGCTCAGTTCCTCGCTAACTCATAGCGTTGACAATGACCCTCCTTCTCGATGAAGTCAGCAGTTGCTGCATTAACCTGGGCCTTCGTAAGTCGTACACGTGTCTTTGCTCCAGTGGCATTGTTAGAAACAGCCGTGGTCGTATACGACGGAGCACTTGATTCATCCAACACATACTCTGAGATCATTTCACTTACTGGATCGTCTTTATGACTACTTTAGTCGGTTTAGGCACGTTGGCAGCGACGCTTCAGTGCTTGGTCCCGAAGCGTTTCACCGGCCGTCTCGATTCTGTGCGCTTTGGCTTTCTTTTTTGATTCGTCCTTATTCTTACGTTTGGCGATGGCCTCTATCTCGTTATCTTGGAGTAAGCGCTTGTGATCCGTGTACATCTCTTCCACGCTAGATTTCTACCGATCCGTCGTTCTAAATATCTTAAGCAAAACGAAATATGATATTCCTAAATATTAGCAGGATGGGCGGGCAAAATTAATTTTAACCCTCCCAAAGCGAGCGGATTTCGTTGCGCCTATTTACCGAAACCCCATACACGTTATGGATAGTGGGTTACAATAGTAAGACCCAGCTATTGTCCGTTTTACTCAAATTTTCCGCCTAATAGTCGATCTTAAACTGAGCAAATCATGCGACCAGGGTAATCTTATTCTGGGACGAGGTCTTTCTTATTCTGATGGAGAATTCTTCCTCACGGGACGGGGCCTTGCATTCTCCACACAAGAGTGTTCATTATCCGGTTGACGGCCTCCTGAGCAGTGCTTCCGCACACGTTACGACGGAGGTCAATTGAGGGGGAATGCAGCGCATGCTTATTCCAAGAGGGACTGTCGCCCGTATGGGTTAATTCCCCGCCGGATACTCAATCAAAAAGTAAGTACTTGCCACTCTATCTTTATGACCTGCTCGCGTTCTGACCTCCCTACAGTGTGGTTGTTCTGTGCTTAATGTAGACTACTGTTCATCTCCAATAATACATGCAGCTTGACTCATACCCGATTGCCCATTGATTGTTTTCCTATGGAGGTGTCGCTTCCTAGTCATTTGCGCTGCGAGCTGACGGTGAAAGCTGGGAGACCACTGGAGCGATGTCGCGATAAAGGCGTTGCTTTGTCGTTCGACATCGATGTATCTGAAGGGTACGGTGTGCTAAGGGCGAAAGTCAAGTCGGCTTTTGCTACAAAGGAGCGTCTATGCTGGAGCGACGATCTCGACGTGTACATCAGACTCGCCAAGAATGCACCACAAAAGGCCTTCGTAAAACTAGATCAAGATGGCTTCGAGCCGTCATTGCAAGCAGCGTGGCGCAATGCTCGGCTGCGCCGTGGTGGGCAGGTTGATTTTGTGCTCGATCTCTTTGTATATGTAGCGAAGCCTAAGAAGGCGCCAGCTACTACGCTTCATCGTGCGACCGAAAACCGTGTGCAACAAGTGATTCCGCGCCTACAAACAGCTCTACTAACGGCTAACGTACCATTCGGTCCTGCTACCCTACGCTACGCTGCTAC